GTAAAATGTAGAGTAGTTTTTTGACAATTATTTTGTTAAAAAATATTTTTTGTAAAATATAAAATAGTTTTTTATCAATTATTTTGATAAATAATTTTTTGCTAAAATGTAGATTATTTTTTTGAATTTGTTGACTATTTTTTTTAGTAATTTGGACTATTTTTTGGGTAAATTTGATTACTTTTTTGCTAAATTTGCTATTTTTTTGTTAAACCTGACTACTATTTTTTCTATTGTCTAATATTTTCTTTCAATGTCGCACCCGAAGAACAATGAGGTACGTCCATTTTTAATCAAAATTTTACTGTATTGTTGATTAGGAGTAGTTTTCATTACGAGAGCTACGGTTTTAATTTTTTTTTTCGGTTTTTTTCAAAAAAAATAAAAGTTATCCCCATATAAAAAAACTACTCCTAATCAACAATACGATAATTTTTTATTAAAAATGGACGTACCTCGTTATTCTTCGGGTGCTCCATTGAGAAAAATAGTAGACAATAGAAAAAAATGAGGAAAAAGTAATCTAAACTGAAAAATAAGACATTATATACTATGGGCCAATGGGCCACAAAACAGTAGACGGACCACGAAAGAGTAGTCCATTGCGATGAAAGAGTAGTTTTCGAAAGTAGATCGTAGTCAACCCTCGTTGACCGTCGTCAACTCTAACCTATCTACTATTTCGTGGGCTGGTTTTTTGCTAATGTGTTTTTTTTTGGCTAATTTTGGATAGGTAATTAGTGTATTTGGGTAGATTAGTATTTTCTCCGTAAAATATTCTATCATTAAAAAAAAGAAATCCAAAAAAATAATATATTATTTACTTGTATCAAGAAAATAATTTAAAATGTTTGTGCTTCATGATTGAGAATGGGTCTAGATATTTCTGGAAACGTGTCCGGATTTAACCCACACACTACATCACACGTGCTCAGTCTAATCCATATGCACACACAGCTACCGCATTATTTACTTGTACAGTACAAGTAAATAGATGTTACTTCCACTTTTACAAGTAAATATCTTCAGATAAAACACACATTTGCAGTTTGTACTGTACAAGTTTCACAGCATGATTCCAAGAACCTTCTTTGATATTTTATCCTCTAGAACCTTCTCCTCCTTCTCCTATTAATACTCCGAACACCCATTTCAAGCTGAATAAGACATTCATCATCGACAAGACATTAATCGAAGAGATTTCATTGACAATGGACTTGAAAACTGAATTGCAAGGAGGAGTGAGTGTGAAAGAAGAGGAGGTTACATTTATATCGTCTACGAACACCGCCGCAACCGCTGGTTCATCGTCTTCGTCTTCTTCGCCGCGGCCGAGGGAAGGGTTGCATGAGGTAGGTCCTCCGCCGTTCCTGACGAAAACCTTCGATATGGTGGAAGATCCAGCGACTGATTCGGTGGTTTCGTGGAGTAGAGGAAGGAATAGTTTTGTTGTTTGGGATTCTCATAAGTTTTCCACTACTCTGCTTCCGAGGTATTTTAAGCATGGCAATTTTTCTAGCTTCATCCGTCAGCTCAATACTTATGTAAGTCCAGCTTCTCCATTCATACCTACATTGAGCCGTTGACGATGGGACGCTATTTGTTGTTTGCAAGGAATTCGATAAAACGATTTAGTAGTATTTCTTTTATGTGTTATGATTGAAGGTTATAATAGTAGTTTTATCTGTGAAAAATCGTGTTAATTACACGTTGCACTGCGTTTTTTGTTGATCCTTCTTGTTCTCAGAATGCAATGCTTTTTTGTGTTCTTAGATTGATCCATCTGTGTTGATTATTGAAAAATCATCAATTAGGGCATATCACATTGACACATTGTGCATCTTCAGATTATTTTTTTCGTTTATGTCTGTTGTTCAAAATAATTGCTTTAATTTGGTACTGAATACGAAATTTTATGCAAAATGGATTCAGGGATTTAGAAAAGTGGATCCAGACAGGTGGGAATTTGCAAATGAAGGATTTCTCGGAGGTCAAAGGCATCTTCTAAAAACAATCAGAAGAAGAAGAAACATATCCCAATCCACTCAACAAAAGCATGATTTTGGCCCATGTATCGAAGTAGGTCAATACGGAATCGAGGAAGAACTCGAAGGACTCAAAAGAGACAGAAGCTTATTAATGGCAGAAATCGTACGTCTAAGGCAACTTCAACAGCATTCAAAAGACCAACTCATAGCCATGGAAAACAGATTAAGATCCACCGAAAGAAAACAACACAACACGATGGGGTTTCTCGCAAAAGCATTTTCAAATCCCGAATTCCTTCAAACATACATGGATAAATACGCACACAGGGAAAAAGAACACATTGAAATTGGTCGTAAAAGAAGGTTAACAATGGTGCCAAGCTTTGAGAATCTACAAGAAGTTGATGATGGTCTGGATTCATTTCCTGCGACCACTGTTGAAGATGAATCAAGCAGCGATGTGGGAAATCAAGATGTTTCAAGCTTATTGGAAGATGATTCGAATTTATGGGAAGAACTATTGAAGATTGAGAAACACCCTGAAGATGTTCTTGATGATTTAGATGGTCAACAACTTGAATGGGATGAGGATTTGCAAGAATTAGTGGATCAAATGGAGTATTTAAGGTCATCAAGTGCTTAAATTATTGAGATTTTATTGTTTGTGGGTGTCTGCAAGTCCACGTCTTCTTTAGTACAAGTCAGAGATGCATATGATTCTTTAGTATCTCTGTGGTAAAATGTTAATTTGTTGTTTAAGTTTGCATGTTTGACACTACTTTCTGCATCTGATGTACGTTTTCTATACAGCTGAGAAGATTGTGGATTTGCAAGGAGGCCAAGCTGCTGGTTTCTTGTATCCTTTTGTTGTTTTTATTCTATTTACTGGATTTTCTTTTTTATTTTCTAAACTGTAAATTTATCTCGACACAAAACAGCCCTTTATTTATTACCTCTGTTTCTTGCAGGGGCCAAAGAAACAAGGAACAGAAGTTGGAGGGGTAAAATTAGAGCTGAAAGTGAAGGTGAATTCTGTTGGGTCAACTTTTTTTTTTTTTTTTTTTTTTTTTTTTTTTTTTTGACAGTCTTGAAGTTTTTGTCCCATACTTTTACCATGATGAGGGTTTTAGAGGTATTTATGTGTTTTTGTATATATAGTGGTGTATAAATTTTAGATGGATGGAATGGAAGTTTTTAATCAGTAGGCTTTCATAGGACTGCAAGTCAAGCCAAATATCTTTTAAAAAATGTTATACAAAATCAAATTCTACTATCCTTAGATTCTTTTTAGAATAGCGAATATAAATACCCATGTGTCACTGCTGCTGGAAAATGTAAACTTCTCCACCCTCTGAATCAAATCCACCTGCTACTTTTTAGCACAGTCTAGACCCTCCCCACTGCCATTGAAAACCCGGAACATCCATTTGAGTTACTCTGTCCAACATACATTAGTCTTTCCTGTTATATTATAGCCCGGTTAGTCTTGCCCATTTAATATTGTCAACCCATTTGGATTGTATGATTGTACGTATATATTTTGTAGAGTGAAGGTAATCTCATTATGGAAAAATATTCAAACCCTAATATGGTATCAGAGCTAAGGGGCTCCCACCAATACTTCCCAATACAAATAAAAACCCATTATGTCGATCTTGAGTGATTTGTCAGCCTCTTCCCTTCCTCCACCCTTGCACCTACGTTGCCACCTCTTTCCTTCGTCTTGCTGCTGTCTTCCTTCATCAGGATCTCCCCCATTCTCGTCCTTGTTCTTTCTACATCATGACCGGCTAGTCCTCAAACCCTAATGGCGGCAACACAAAACCGTATGAAATCACCAATATAAAAACCTTCGTCCCTCTTATTCTTTACTTGAATAAACTCAACTATGATTCATGGCGAGAGTTGTTTCAAACCCATTGTACCGGTTTTGGTGTTCTAGGCATCTTGATGGCACACCGAAACCGCAAAATGACAAAGACACATAATGGTTCACTATTGACTCTCTTGTCAAGATGTGGATCTATGGAACCTTGACTCAATCGCTTCTCAACATGGTTACAAAACCCGGCTCCATCGTCAACTCGTGGTGGCTTGACATTGAAGCTTTGTTTCGCGACAACAAGGATGCACACATCATGGAACTTGAATCAACTCAACTATGATTCATGGCGATAGTTGTTTCAAACCCATTGTACCGGTTTTGGTGTTCTAGGCATCTTGATGGCACACCGAAACCTCAAAATGACAAAGACACATAATGGTTCACTATTGACTCTCTTGTCAAGATGTGGATCTATGGAACCTTGACTCAATCGCTTCTCAACATGGTTACAAAACCCGACTTCATCGTCAACTCTTGGTGGCTTGACATTGAAGCTTTGTTTCGTGACAACAAGGATGCACACATCATGGAACTTGAGTAGAAACTAAGGAAAATGACAATGGGAGACCGATCAATCAATGAAGTTTACGAGAAGATGAAGGTGACAACGGACTTGCTAGGTAATATCCGTAATGCGGTTTCGGAACGTACTCTTGTCACATATTTTATCAATGGTTAAACCCAAAATATGACCATATTTGCTGTTGTGATTCACCACAAAGCACCTCTCCCGACTTTGCTTCAAGCCCGATTGATCCTTACTCACGAGGAGAGTCGTTTCTCATGACCCCGTCAAGCTACTACACATCATTTCGACCACACATCTGCTCCAACTATTCTTTATTCGGCTTATCCAACTTCATCTCAAAATAAAGAGCAACAATCGCAACATCAACAACCGCAACGACTCTTCTAGCCACCAATCCACCAAAGAATCGCTAACAGCAGGTTGCCCCTTCTCGACCTCCACATCAACCACCTTTCCTGATGTAGTGGTCCTACTTTCCTCCGCCTTAGACACCCTATGAATGACTTACATCCCCTGGTCTGTTCCTCGCACCTACGCCAAACAATAGCAACGCCACCACCCTCCTTTACTTGTCGGGCAACAGCAGTTGCTTGGCAGCAGTCCTGCCACTACAAATCATACGTTTCAGCCTACTGTTGCATTTCACACCGCTGATCAAACCACCGAGCTTACTCCCCTGTCGAAATGGTTTCCTTTGACTCAATCTGACCAACCCACTGACATTGTTAGTGCAATGAACACCATGTCCATTAATGACACGCATGACCCAACTTGGTACATGGACACCGGGGCTACTTCTCATTTGGCTTCGGAAACATGTAAACTCCATTCTTTTAGCCATAATAGCAAAATAAATTATGTTCTTGTTGGCAATGGTTCACATATACATGTCACTCACATCGATCACTCCCGTTACATACATCCCATCGCCCCACTTCACATTCACAATGTCCTTATTTGTAACACCCTTGTTAAAGTAATTTTATTTTTGACCCTAAGTAATTGATTTGTTGTAGAATTGGTCCTGTAGCTTACTTATGTAAGGCATGTATTTGTGCTAGTACGTTGGGCGTACCCAAGCATACGCAGGGTGTACGTGGCTGGGGGTCAAACCCTAATTTTTAGGGTTTGAGCCCTATTTAAGCATTATTATCTCCTCAAGACCTTTCGCCTCATCAGCCTCTATCCCCCAAATCGTCCCTTGTAAATCCTAATCCATTATGTGAGCACTTTCAGCTTAAGTGAGTGCAATTTTTTGTTCTTAAAGGAATGAGAAGATAGTGGATTCATCTTGGAAACTCAAGACCACTTAGATCCATAAGTATCTCACCCTGAAGCATCATTTGGAGGTATACAATTGAGATCTTGATGAGTTAATTGCTTAGATGTTGCTAGTCTAGAGTTTGTGTATACTTTTGGTCCCATAGTTAGGTTTAGTGGAGTATGAGCTACTCCAGGTCCTTAAAATGTAGTTTTTTGTTGTTTTGAGCTCATAGATTCATAAAAATGATAGCTTTGTCATTCTCTTTAAGCCTTGCAAGAGTTTTGAGACTTTGGATGAGTTTTGGACTAAGGGCTTGAGTTTTTACCCTCGTGTATGCATGCAAATGGATAAAGTCAGAGACTTTATCCATTAAGACATCCCTTTTTACTTGGATCTGAAGTCTGGTGCTTTGGCTCAATGAAATAAGCACTTAATGGTGAAATGGAGAATTAGCTCTGGTACGCTGGGCGTACCTGGAGGTATGCTGCACATACCAGGTTTTGAACCCATGACTTGAGAGGCACCCTCTACGCTGGGCGTAGAAGGGAGTACGTAGGGCGTACTCAACCTAAAGGGTGGGGGGGGGGGATCTTTGACTTTTTGATCTTGACTTTGACCAAGTTTGACTTAGGGTATTTTGGGTATTTTGAGCAGTAGTTTGAGATTAGGCCACTGCTTGTTGTATAGGTGACCTGTAGAGTCAGCAGTTGGAGCTGTTATTTGTTCAGCTACATTTCAGATTGTGAGGGAAGTTTTCCTCACAGTACTTGTGGGTCGAAGGTGAAGGGTTTTGAGCATTCTAACACTCCTATGGTGTACATGCAACCCTAAATACATTGGATCTATGTTTTCTCTATTATACATGCAAACTTGAAGTTTCCAAGATATTACCCTAACTAGCATACAATCTTTGATACATGGGTAATAAAACAAGGTAGAATACATACCTTTTGTTGTAGCTTGATTCCATGAATCTTAAGAGCCTAGTGCCTCAAGTGTGACACCTCAAATGGTTCACACAACATCACCAACATCTTGGAATAACTTGGGAGAAAAGGTTCTTATGCTCAAATCGGCTAGCCCTCATGTGTACACACACTAGTGCCAATTTCTTGAGCCATGGGGTCCTTATATATGTTGGCTATTAGGGTTACACCATGTAATTCATGTCTTTCCATATTCTTCATGCTCTATGGGTTAAAACCTCCATGGAGTATCCATGGGTTACTCCATGGGTTTAGCCCAACATGAAGAACTATGGATCATAAGCCCACATATATAAGAATGAATGATTTACACAATCAATCCCCATATATTTAATTAGTCTCATTTTGACCACAAAATTAATTCCAAATTAATTCTTGATCAATACTAATTAATAATATGATTTCATATTAATATATTAGAACTTATAATATATGCCATGCAACCCAAATGGACCATGCCAAATCGGGTCAAATACATACCAATTATAGTTATGGACTTAGACACTAATCCAACAGTCTCCTACTTGGATAAGTCTAAAACTATTATTGCGTATGACTTCAAAGCCCGACTAGCAATCGTAGCTCTTAAAAGCTGCTGTCGAACTCTGAACAAATCAATGACGCGTCCATTAGATAAGGGATCATATATTCCTCCATTCTAGATATGATATGGACTGAGACATGGATTATAATCATTCTCTCTGTCCATTTGTTGTTTCCCGATTTCCGATTTATGACGACCGACTAATTGAACAAATCAAATCAGTCAAGGCTTGGCCAAGCACTTAGGGGTGTCATCACTAAATCATCGAGGGGCCCACAGATATCCCTTTTATCCCTTCAAGGGTAAAAGGAATGGATAAACTTCTACTCATATGCTTGTTCTACTACTTGTTGAATCATACGCAAAGGCACGTTTTATAACATCGAGTTACCAATGCGTTTACGTACAATCAATGCATAACCAACTCATAGGCAACAAATCATATCTCTAGGTTTAAAGAATATAAGATATTATCGTCTCATGATCACTCGTGATAAAATCCATG